TTTCCTTCTGAACAGTTACTTATTTATTTCATTAGCCTACCTAAAGTGGTGTCTCTAAATCAATCAGCTAAAGCCCTCAAGCAGAACTATTGTATCTTTATTGCACTGACTGTCTTACACATGATAGGCAGACTTTTCAATTATCTTCCTAGATAATGAAAAATAATGTCAGTAACACTCTTCATATTTAATACTGGGCATTGAGTAAAACATTGACTGTGCTAATTTTTGATGCAACTTTTGTCTTTAATAGCTTGCATATGAATCCCTGGCAGTTATTGGAAATGCTCTGACTCTTCTAGAAGTGGGACAAATTGCTGTGTGTAGGTGAGTTTATTTGAAATCATGACTTTTCTTCAGTACTTCAGAGCAGAATGTAAATACCAGTTCCATGCTGTAATTTTCTTCTCTTTTCTGAAGCTTTGGAGAGACTGTTCAGCTGCTGCACCCGTTCCACGAGCAGTTCAGTGACCAGTCAGGGACACGGATATTGCGTCTTTGCAAGTTTCAGCAGAAGAAAACAAAAATAGCCCAGGTACACAAAAATGCCTCTAGGGCAACAGGTTTACCAGTCTTTTCCAGACAAGATATCAGCAGCTTCATGATCACTTTGTAACACTTACTAGTTGTTTTTGTATTTGAGAGTCTGATAGCTGGTTAGATAACAAAGAAATAAAATGGTCGTAATTTTGTGACAGGAAGAGTGTTTTCTCACTTTTAGTTCTGATATATACCACTTTTAAGTATTCACCTTTCTCTTTATTGAGTCTTAAAAAGTATTTTGGGTACTGTTGATGTTCTTAATCTTAATGGGGTGTATTAAACTAGATACATCTGTTTCAGGCTGAAGCCAAAGAAGTTCAACCTAGAAACAGGATGTATATTTTCAATGAAGCCATTAATCTCATTAGCAGTGTACTGTGTTCATGGCTTTGCTAGTATTGGGGAATGAAATAATCTGTTTGAAGGCTCTCTGAAGATTCATTAGTTCAAAAGTACTTCATAAATTTAAAGCTGGAGTTGATAGAGGAAAATGCTGTATCTGTGTTACGTGTTCAGACTGTCTTAGCATTTAAAAGAGAGAAAGCTGTTCTTTAGAAATGTTTTCATTTTTAAGTTTATTATTTTTAAGATGAGATAACTTGATTTTCTTACTTATTTCCCTTGCAGTTTCTAGAATCATCAGCAAATATGTTTGCTGCAGCACAGCAGTTGTCTCAAAATATTAATCCGGGTGAGTTTTTTTGTGTTACTGTGCTTGTTGCCATGGCAGCAGAATGCTCACTACAGTCCCGACATAGGATCTTGCCAGGAAGACTCCTAGGACTGAAACATCACTTGCATTAGGGCTTTGGGTTTTGCTTTGTCAAAAGCAACGTTTGGGTGAAATTTGGCTCCCAGGCGACATCTACTTTATATTTGTTAATAAGTCACTAAAATCTTGTGTAAGACTTTTTAAAATGGCACACCTTACCTGTCTCCATTTACCTCCTGATTGCAGACTATGTTAAGGTGTAGATAGTGCCAGCTGGGAGCATTGTCCAGCTTCCTAAGGACCCTGACTCTCTAGACACTTCTGTTCCTGCTTGAGAGCTTGAGTTCTCTAGGTATCCACACTGCCGTGAGGAGAGAATTTGCCTCCTACCTGCCTTTCACGGTCCTGGAACTTCAGGTCACGAGCTGCTTTTCTTTCCAAGAAAAGCTGGAAGACTGCTTGCCTCATGTCTGCCCCATAATTAGTCTAAAAGAATGCTCTGTGATAGTTAAAAGCTTGTCATGGTGGCACCTGTATTTTTTATAAGTTCTTGTTGTTGAAGTACTCCAAGAACTGGACAGTCTGGGATTTATAATCCACAGCTGTTTTACGACAGGGTGGCCAGGGTGTCACAATATTCTGAGGGGGAGCTGCATCCAGTTCTGTGTAAACCAGGTGGGGATGCAGCAGCAATGAGCTCCGAGGGAGCTGGCAAGAGAAAATGCTGTAGGATTCATCACCTCTTTCTGTAAAAAGACAAAACCCTGTCACATCTGGGGCGTGTGTGCAGAAGTGTGTTCTGCATCCCTCTGTAACAATTAGGGCTTGCATTCCTCACTGTAATTACTGTGATTTTATGTGTAATTAAATACATAACTTAAAATGTACCTCTAGAGGGATGTATCTGACTCTAGGGGCAACTTGGGTCAAATAACATATCTCCAGAAATGATTGGTGCTGAGGAACGCAGCATGGATGTGATGTCTGATGTTTCAGGAGGTTTACTTCAGACTCATTGGACCGACTTGACAGAATTCTATTTGAGGAGTTAATATCCTTAGGAATACTCCTTTTTCCATTATACCCACAGGCCAAACAGCAAAATAGGGGGGTTTGCCTTTTAAATGTTTTACTCTGAACTTACTGGAGTTTTAAATGTTCTTTGTGCTCAGAAACAGCGCAGCTGCTTTTGATTGTATCTGATGGAAGAGGCCTTTTCTTGGAAGGCAAGGAACGGGTGACAGCAGCAGTTCAAGCAGCTCGGAGTGCCAATATCTTTGTTATTTTTGTAGTGTTAGACAACCCTAATTCCCGGGTAAGTGAACAAGGGAGAAGTATTCAACTGCAGTGAATGAGAAACTGATACAAATCCTTTTCTTGTCTTTTGTATGCCATACAGCTACCTTATCTTTTGTAGAGGTCAGAGATACTGAGCCCAAGTGCAGTTTTCCACGTCTGTCAGATCTACCATTTCTTCCTACTGTGCTTTTTATCTTTTGTATTTAAAAAAAACCCCTCTGCTTCCATGCCACAGAAAGGCTAAGAGCTCCCATCTTCAAACGGAATGCTTGTAGCTCTTGGCCACCAGGGAAGCAGCTGGCAGGTTGACAGATTTGGAGCTTGAGAGATGCTTTGTTCCATCTCAGCTCTGATTCAGCTTGATAATTTCTGACAGCAGTCCCCAATTGACATGACAGCTGGAGCCAGTATGAGATTAAACATTAGACAGAAGGGAGTTTGTGAGAGTTATTTAGTGCCTCAGTTGGGAAAGCTGAGTTCTGCATCTGGTGGTAATGGGGGAAGAAAACTTTAGATATCCTTGGATGGGAAGCTGAAATAAATGGGAATGTTTCAGGAAGGCTCTGTAAGGTAGTAAGTGAGCAAACATAAGCCTGATAGAGAATTATGTGGTAAAGACTCTTAATTTTTTTGTTTGTGTTTTCTTCCTGTATCTTTATTTTTGCATACAAAACTCATCTGCTATATTTAGTGTTGAAAAACTAACAGTTCTCTTGCTGACAAACAGCTGAAAGGTTCTGATGAAACCTGGCTGTAGTATCAAGCGAAAATTCTGGGTGTCTTTCATAAGCTTTTTTTTCTGGGGAAAAAAAGGTATTTTCTGTAACCTTTATTAATTTCTGAGCTGCAACACTGAGCAACTGAGAAGTTACTTTACAAGAAGCACAGCTGGAGTTTAATCTGATTTTTGTCTTTGTAGTATTTGCTGAAATACTGTGAAGTTGCTAAAGAATCTTCTGTTAGAGCACTGCACAAATATGAGTTGAACTCAGCACTAAAGAGCTTACAGACTCTTGGGAAGGCATCAAATTAATGAAACTTAAGTGCCAGCAGTAAACTCAAATCGTAATATGCTAAGAAAAGACAGAATTTATTTACGGAATTTGTTATTGCAGAAGCTTAAGCTTAGTCCCTGCTAACCTATAATTCATGGATTAGTACACTTTTATCTAAAAGGGCAAAAGAATTTAACTGATGTTCAGCTTTTGATCTGATTTACCACTGAACACTTAGAGCTTTTAATCTTAAAAGTATTTTATTAACTTTTAATCTAAGGGGGGAGAATTATAAGTACTTAGAAAATAGGGTAAATTCTATCAGTGATCATAGAATATGTGTGTCATTTAGTAGTAACATCAGCACTTTTTTTTACAGGATTCTATTTTGGACATTAAAGTACCTATATTCAAAGGACCTGGAGAATTGCCTGAAATCAGGTCTTACATGGAAGAATTCCCATTCCCGTTCTACATGATCCTTAGAGACGTGAACGCGCTCCCAGAAACTCTGAGCGATGCCCTCAGGCAGTGGTTTGAGCTGGTGACTGCCTCGGACACTCTTTAGACTTTGTAGACAAGGTCAGGACCTGATTGCTGCTGCTGAACTGCTGAAATACAAGAAACTGCATTTCATGGCAGGAGTCATAAAGCTCTTCCCACAGGATTATCCTGTGGGAGCTGCCCTGGGGCAGAGGCTGTGTAAGAACAGAATGGTTTGGGTGCATCCTCCCAAGGTGTCAAGAGGACAATTATGCAATGGTGAGACTGTCTCCTGCTATTCCCATAAGAAATGTAAAACTTGTCTCAAATTCTCTTGTAATAACTTATTACCTTGAAAAAAAAAAAGCATTTGTAATATTAATAGAGGTAATATTATTCCTGCCGCTCCCTCCCTGCCGTAAGTAAAACCAATCTTGTTCCTAGGAAGGCATTTCTGCATTAGAAGTTGAGGTGCCTCACAAATAAAGCCTTTTCCAGCATCACCTATGTGGAGGTGCCTCTGGGAAGGAAAGAGTGGGGGACCAGGAGAGGCACAGATGGTTTTAATCAACCAAAAAAAAAAAAAAAAAAAGTACTTGAATACTTGCAACTATTCTGCGGTTTTAACGCATGATTTTTAATTATTGCCGATTTTTGCCTGACGATAGCAGCAGGGAGTTTTCTGAATCACGCCATATACGCTGATCCCTGCCTTACCACTTTACACTGTGAAGTTTGCCCCGTCCGAGGCAGGCGTTGGGGATGTTTCATAAATCACGGACGTGATTTTTCATTGCAAAAGCTATGCATCTTGTATCGTCTATACTAATAAAAAGAGGTACCACTCTTTGTAATTACGACGTCTGCGCCTTGCATTGATCAAAGCTGAAACAACCCGACCCGGCCCTGAGTGCCGCGGTGACGCAGGAAATGGCGGCCTCGGCCCCGCCCGCGCGGGGCGGGCTCGGCGGCCCCGTGGCGGGGCAGGGGCGGAGCCGCGTCATGGCCGCCGGGAGGCTCCCGCCGGCCGCGCTCACTCTCAAGCAGGTACGGGGCACGGGGGCTCGGGCAAGCTGCGTCCTGTACAAACCATGGGGAACTCGGTGGTTGTTTAAATACCCCTCGAAGCAAAGCGCCGAGGGCGCAGCTCGCAGCAGTGCCCTGGGGCGGCGGGCAGACTTCCCTCTCTCCTTGGCAGTTCCTGAGGCGGCAGCAGGTCCTTCAGTTGTACCGCAAGATCCTGCGGGCCATCCGGGAGGTCCCTGCTGAGCAGGATCGCCGCTACTTAAAGGACTGGGCCAGGGAGGAATTCAAGAGAAATAAGGATGCTACAGAAGAGGTGAGGATAGGGAACCCGCCACTCTGATCGCCTGGCCTCGGGCATGGTCACTGCACCGTCCTGTCCTGTCCTGTGTCTTGGCGTTTGTTTTGTAGGTGTCGCTTCCGGACTGGTGAAAAGTCCCCTGTTACTATTCCCTCATTTATGTGAAGAAATAATCCAGCATCTCTAAATATTATCCCCCCTCTTAGCAGTAGTGATGTTTCTTAAATTTCCAGAGAATAATCTGGAATTAAAAACCTGAACAACAAATACTGTACTTACTCAAATCACAGATCAGGAAAAATGTGTATATATATGGCAACTAACACAAACCTAGTGATAGTCAAGCTTTTTATAGCTTTTTCTTTTTTAGCTTTAATTTCACTTATATTCAAGCAGAATACAATCAGATGGAATGGTTAAGGATGTGAAGCAAGTGTGAAATGCAGAAACCTTCACATTTCTTGTACCTATCCTGTTCTCTGCTTCCTAGTTCATTCCCTGTTCTAGCCAGTGCCCAAGGTGGCTGAATTATGCAGACAAAGCCTTAGAGCCCTTAGGTAATGTTGAGAGAAACCAGCACCTGCTGTGTAAAACCCATCTCCATAATGCTCATGTGCTGGTCTCACTGCTGGCTTGCAAAGTCAATACACAGAGGCATAAAGAAAACATTATTAGGGGTTTGAATCCTCTTTTAAACTGAGTGTTAAAGCAAAGCTACAAACAAATACATTGTTAAGGAACTGGAGAAAATGAATCCATTTATTTACCTGATTTTTAACCGTCTCAGTGTTATGTCACAGAAAGAAGTAAATTACAGTAGTGCCAGTAAGAGTTATATGTTATTGAATGTATTTTAATGCTTTAAAAGTCTCTGTGTATGTATAAAACCCATGCTGTGTACAGATGTACAGTCCACTAGATTCCATTCTGTTTTACAGGATGCAATCAGGATGATGATTACTCAAGGCAACATGCAACTTCAGGAACTTCAGAGAACACTTAAGCTGGCAAAATCCTGATCTTCGTTTTGTTGACAGTTTTAATTTTTATTTATTGCAAATAGGCACAGTGCTTTTTTCCAGAATGTGGTTACAATGGCAGCCTTTGCTGGCAACCTGGTAATGTTTGAAGGAGAAATCTACCACAGTGGGAGTTTTGGTTTTCCCCCTTCCCCAATCCATTTCTCAGTTTTGCTACCCTCAGAAGTGGAAATCACTTGGACACAAAGGACATTAAAGAACTGCATGGATGATGTACCATGTGCTGCAGGAAAAGCAGAAAGCACCAAAAATTACAGTTAAAACAGCTGTGTTAATGCCAGTGCAATGGAAAATAAATATATGCCAGATTATTTTGTCTGCTTTTCACTGTGGTAGCTGTAATTGGTAATATTCACAGTGACAGCTGTTCATGTACTGTACTAAGGATTTTCACCAAAATTTGTGATTAAAAAAAGAATTTGGGATATATTGGCCTATATATTGTACAATATAAATATATATAAATATATATTTATATTGTATATATAATAGAATATATAGAACAATATATTGTTCTATATATTCTATTATATAGAACAAACAAACATTAAAAAATGTTTTGTGTGTAGATGTTGTTTTTCAGTAATAGCTAAATAAAACTTAAAAGGGGAGGTCTGTATTTATGAAAATGGGAGATTTTAGCTCCAGAGATATTTATTACCAGATACCTTCAAACTAGTATTTAAAAGTCAATATATAAAGAAAAACTACAGGTAGGAAATAATAACTGAAAAAGTTGTGGTTTGTTTATTCAAATATTATACTACTCCACTTCTAATTGTTACCTTGCAACTGTTCTCACTTTCCTTGAGCTGTGGTGTATCTTTTTTTTCCATTTAATTTAAAAATGCCGGGATGAGCTGGGGATTTTCTCCACAGAACTAGACAGGCAGCAGTAGATTGATGCTTTACTATTTTAATTTGTGATCCAAGATATGCAGGATCTCTTCCCTCTTCCATTCTACTATTGTAATTCCCTTGAGGAGAACCAACTTTTCAAAGGTGGTTTTCTGCAGAGTTGCTGAGCTGCACAAACTGGCAGCAAATCTGGTAAAAAGGTATCACCACTGGCACCAGGGAAGGGACAGGACAGAATTCCAGGCTACAGGAGGAAATAACCCCAGTTGAGAGCAGGAGCTGTGGTTCAGATCTGTATAGACTGAAGCCTCTGAGCTTCAATCAGTCAGTGAAAAATACATATCTAAAAACGCTTCATTAAAAATTTACATTTTATTAACCTTTTCTGGTAGAACAGACTGACAGAACATTTTTGTGTTGGGGATTAATTTTTCATGTTAAGAGAAAGTGCTGCTTAGAAAGGTATTTTGACTGAACAGCCATAACCACTGTTGGCTGTTAGCACAGTAGCCTTCCATTCCCCTTCAGTGTGCTTGGATTTCTGTTCCTTAATCAGGAGGCTGTACCCTGCTGCCTCACCATGGTGCTTTCCTTTCAGAGCCCAGAGCATGCATTACCCCTTTGACTCCCAGTTTGTACATTTCCAGGTTGTGGGTATGTAATCCAGAGCTAGGACTGACAGACAGGGCCCTGGACAGATGTTGACGCCTTGAGTGCTGCTGCCATTCATCTTCACTGTTCTGTGGGCTTGCCAAGTATAAAACTGCCAGCCAGAAGTTTAAAGAGTCCAAGTACAGCCTGTGAGGGTAAGTAAATTTATCTGAAGAGACAGGTAGGTAGGTCAGAGCTGTTTTACAAAGTCCTTCACAGTTTTGAAGAAGGGAGGGGTATAGAAAGGAATTAGCAGAAAATGCTTCTCTTTCTTTTACCATACACTCACTGGCTTCAGATAACCTCTAAAATCAGTAACCTGCAGCCTGGTTACTGCCTTAGATTACTTGGTAATTACTTGGATTTACTTAAATTACTTGGACTTACGAGTGTGGTCCAGTGTGGTCTGTATGGAAAGTAGAGCTAAAGCCACAGCCTCTCCCTTGAGCTTGGGCAAGCTCAGGAGTGTGTGTGTGATCTGTGCACAACTCAGCCCTGTAACTTCTGAAAGGGGCACCTGCACCAGCCAACAGACAGCACTCAGTCCCTGCAGCCTCCCTCTGCACAGGTGGCAGATTCCACTTCTGTGTTTCATAACCACAAACAAAAAGCTTAGAAGTTAAAGTCCAAAATTCTGCTCCCCCTTCAGAGTCAAGTGAGGCAACTGTGTCAGTTTTCTGTGGCTAGAAAAGGTTACACCACACATTTCTGAGCAACACTTACTTTAATTGCTTGGCAAGACATAACTTCATCCAGGTGATACAAAACTTCAATAGCATGCTTCTGCATTCCTACTGTAGCTCAAACAAAACTGTAAACATACCAAAGTGTCTATGTTAGACTACAGAAGTCAGAGCAAGAAAACTAGTATTTCCATAGCTGCAGATACACTTCTTCTGTCATGATAGTGCATTAATAGGAACTTAAAAAGTATTGTTATATAATATGACTTTTTTGCTTTGTACATCTGCTAAGAAGACAAAAGCTTAATTACTAATTAGTGAATGGCATTCTTCAACACTGTAAAGTATTTTGTATTGATTTTAGAGCTCCTTAGTACAGAAAAAAAAGTATTTTCCTCCTTGGCATAACAGTACCATCTGTGTTGGAACTGATTTTGAACAGTTGTTCTATCATGATCTGGTAAGTAAACTTATATTTCTAGCAGAATCTGATGGAGCCTTCTCAGATGTGTAAGGAGGAAACTCTAAAGGGATGCAGATGCAATAGTTACAGTGCCTTGAAATTACCTGGAGTCTGTCAGCATGGACAACATTGGTGAATAAAAGTTCTGATTTTATAACAAAATACAGTGATAAAGCTTTTAAAATGCTGAGTGCTGTTTTGTGGGACTGTTTGTCCTAAAACCTGTAGACTCATCAGGGCCTGGTCTTCTTTTTAGAGAAAGAAGGGAAAAAAAGGTGAGGACCCATTCAGAGGAAAAAAGGTAGACAGTCTGGGCAAGGTGCCTGGGAAAAAATCCTGACTGCAGAAAAATAAAATTTGAATTCAGGAAGCCAAGCTTTCACTTCCTTAGATAAAGGACTTTTTTAAGCTTCTTCAATAGTAGACAGCCATTTCCTGCTTGAAGGAAAAAAAGATTTATATAAAACATTCAACCTAAAAAACAGACCATGGTTACAGTAAAATACTTGTCATCCATGCCCTAAACAAAATTCTTAGTCAGATTACTGGAGTAGAGCCCCAACAATAGTGTAATCACAAGGAGCTCTGCAAGCAGGACACCATTAGAAAAAAAACAAATGAGATTTAGCACTTGTTTTAATAATGGAAAACCAAGAGAAAAGCAAAGTGAAGCTTCTGTACCTATTGGGATGATTTGCCCTAGCATGTCCCTCCATGGTTGCCTGCCCTCTCCCAGCTGGAAGCCTGCATCTGTCTGGGCTTGTACTTGGACTGGGTTCTTTAGCTTCTCTCCTGACTAGAGAGAGGCCCTGGCCCTGGGAGTATCTAAAATAGGATCAATAGCCCTTCATCACTAAGTAATTCTGTCAAAAACTTTCAAACATCTTGGATTTATTTCAATACTGGTAACAACATGTTTACGTGTATCATACAGTAGAACTGTCTAGTCTGTGTCCTGTGTGGAAGTAAGGGAATTCCCTTTTCAGAAAGCAGTTTTGGTTACTAATGCAGTTTGGTTTCAAGCAGCATCTGGAAACTGAGAGTGCAATATTGGCAGACTCTTGAAAATAACAAAGAAAGGATCTAATCTGCAGCATCTCTTCGTTATCAATATAGTTTGCATATGAACTCTCCTCAGTTATGGAGTTTCCAAAGTTATTTCTACTCCTGAAATAGAGTGTTGTGTTTGGATGTAACAGGCACTACAAATATCTATCAATATTCCCAATTCCCATACAGCAGGTTCCAAAATGAGTCCTGTGGTTGATTAGCTGCCTGGCAGGTGCTAGCTCTCTTTCTGCACCTTAGTCCTTAATTTGCTCAGCTCCTCTTCCAAGCATTTGATGTGCTCCTTGAGCGCAGCTTTGTCCTGCTGCGCTCTCTGGTTGGCTTGGCACCGGGCTTCTTCTATCTTCCGCTCGTACCACTTCTCCATCTGCGTGGAGACGGCCTCGAAGAAGTACTGGGTTATCTCCAGGGCCTGGGAGGTGTCTCTGAGCGGAGGGGCAGGCGGGCCCGGGGGCTGCTGCTCCTGGCCCTGCTGTACCCCCCCGTGGTGCACAGCTTTGTGCCTCGACTGCCCACTTTTGCTGGACTTTTTCGTCTGAGTTCCTTTGTCAAGGAAGTAGCCGCTCTGTGGTTCAGTCTTTGCAGGTTCAGTCACTGGCCGCAAAGCGGCTTGAACTTTAACGTGTCTTAATTTGGAGCCCGAAAGCTCAGAGGAGGGCAGCTCCTGCTGGAACCTGTGGAATGTGCTGGCACTCACAGCTTTGTCCTTTGGCCTGACATCTTGAGCAGGGGCAGAAGAAACTGGTCCACCAGCCACTACCTGTTGCTCTGTACCTATAGAACAAATTATAGACAATATATTAAGAAAAGCTCTGGGCATTTATTTTAGCACTCAGAAGACCTCATTGTTTGATGAACAATGGGGTTTTGTATGTACCTTGTACAGGCTTATATTAGTTTATCACATCTTCAGAGTCAGGTGATGTAACAGAAAGTCATTAAAGGAGAAAAGCTGGCTCAGGCAAAGAAGTGCTGCATTGCAGCTGTTGATCTACAGATGGACAACAGCCAAAGGACATAAATATTAGCCAAAAATTCTTCACTGTGAGGCACTGGCACAGGTTACCCAGAGAAGTTGTGGTTTCCCCATCCTCAGAAGTGTGCAAGGCCAGGCTGGATGTGGCTCTGAGCAACCTGGTGCAGTGGAAAGTGTCCCTACCCATGTACCCATGGCAAGGGGGTTAGAACGAGATGATCTTTAGGGTCCCTTCCAATCAAAACCATTCTGTGACTTCATCAGAAGGCCATGTAACAACTATCAATCTAGATTTCCAAAGTAGGTTCTGTCTGCTGATATTTATGAACTCCCTCCTTCTACAAAACTTGGAAGTCCCAGAAATTTTGGAAAGGTCACACATTTCTATGCTTTGGACTGTTCCAATACAGAATAGCTCACACTCAAGCACCACAAGATCTCTTATATGCCTTTCTATTTGATGGGGCATCCATGCCTGTTCACTTTGCTTGGTGTTTGGGGGACATTGTATCTTACAGAAGCCAGGGCTCAGATAGCATTCGGCTTTGCTGTGGACATCTGGCCTTTCTGCACATTTCTTTTTTTTTTTTCCTTCAAAAGCTTCCAGGGCCAAGAGTTATTCAAAGCACCAAAGGATTTTTGCTTCAAAGACATAGCAGAAGCATCAGGAACAGTCAGTGGAATTCCACCAAGCCACCTCTTAAAATATTCCCAGTGGCT